CGCAATGCATCTTCATGTCTCTTGCGGAAACTGGTCAATGACTGAAGTGTATTGCCCTTGAGACCGAGAGTTGTGGTCAATTTAGCCCAATCTACTTTAACTGCAGCGCGCTAATATTTCGACGGTTAGTATACGTTGTTCTTTCACTTGCTTCTGTCGCATCCACAATAGGCCCCCAGACAGCTGACAATTGCAGGACCAACACATTCTAAATAGAACAGTATATAATATACCGCCAAATCTTCTCTCTTTTCTCGACTTATTGTGCACTATTGATATACTTACAGTCGCAGACATTTCGTGGTGGTATAGTTGAAAAGCCGGAATGGGTCGGGAATCTTACCGCGGTACAGCCGGGTAACATTAAGAGTTAGGGTTATTAGGGCATTACATTGAAGCTACAGCTGGCACCGAGTATCAATTGACTGTCATCATATTATTGAACCATATTTAATATACATTTCTGCGTTTTCTCCTTGAATCGTGATTAAAGAACTGGTACGTCTTTTTGGCGCTGTCAACTCCTAGCAGAGGACCCATCGCCTTTTCATCCATCATAACGAAATCTCGTATAGATCGCACTTTGGACATCACCTCCAAACCATTTCTGTACGAGACTCCAGGAATATTGTGAAGCATTGCATGTGCAGCTTGGTTGAATCTTGACATTGAATTAGCAGCATCGCGCGCTAGAGCCTGATTAGTAGGCGCAATATCCTTTGATCCAGCCAAAGCTACCAACCGGGCCTGATCTAGTCCATAAGCAACCGCAGTAGCTCCATCTGGTTCGCTTCGATCTCTTTTCAGCTCCTTAAATAACTCAGCAGTGTACTGAGACGAAGGAGACCATAATAGTCTGAGTTTAGGGAAGTTTATAGTCAGTAGCACTAGCTGAGATCTGATTTTCCCCATATTGGCAATAGATTTGCCTGAAGAAGCACTAGACTCGATACTTTCTAAAGGCGCGAGTCCAAATGCTTTGTTTCTTCCAAATTCGATCAAAAGTGCCGGATAGTCATAGTACCGGCAGAGTTGATCTGCTTGTCCATATAAACGACCGTCTTTGAAAGATGATATAAGATCAGCAACGCTTTTCCTCTCAATGCCAATATTCGTCGACAGAATGTAATCTCCTACTGTTAATACACACGGTACCAGTGTCAAACCTTCAGCATGCATTAATGATATCAATGAAACATGAAACTCGCGGATATCAACTATCACCTTTGGAGGTTCCTTAGAGGCAGCAAGCCGTCCTCCCGCAATACGAGAATTGATCTTATGTAAGAGATCATCCTCTCCGGGTTTCTGTAATCTGACATCAAGAACCATCGGCAATGCTGCCTTTTCATTGATCAGTTTAGTGAAACAGTCCTTCTCCCGTCGCACAGCAGCAAGGAACCTTTGTTCTTCGGATGATTTTCCGTAGTATAAGAAGAACGTCTGAATCTTCTCAAATCGAGATTTGACATTATACATTTCGATCCGTCGAATAAAACTCGGATTGGGGTCAAGCATCACAACGTACCTCGGTTTCAGCTCTCTGAGCAATCTGTCATCACTGTCTCCTTCATAGGCTCGAATAATTAGCAATTTGTCCCGGCCAAGAAACGAAAAGCCTTCAGACTCTTTAGGATCCTCTATTAATGACACAAAATCATCGTCCTCTAGTTTCACATCAAGGTCGATTATCTCCTTTTTCTCGTCCTCAGAATCCGTATCGTCTTTAAGCTTAGCACCTGAATCATCAATTGTAAACGACATGACTTCATTTGGAATCACATTTCTAGTTGTTACAGATGCTCCTCCTCTAACTCGTCTTCGCTTAGAGCGAGGTACCATTCTGGCAGGAGCCTCAGTTTGTTCTTTTTCTAGTTGTGCATTATCCGTTTGCTCTGTCTCAATCTCCTTCAACTCGATAGCGGCATTGCGTCGGTATGAGTTCAGGCTAATTCTGTACACCAAATATTCTTGAAGTTTGTTCATCAGGTACTTCTCGGCCGACCGCACTATGCTGGTAGGATCACTAGAATCTTTGCTATCCTGTTCTACTTCTGAGCTAGACAAGTAGCTCTGTATCAAATCAGCCTCATATACAGAATTGCACATGATAAGTATTGGTCCTTGCTGTGTGTTGTTCCGAGAAGCGATGTCATCAATGATCGAAGCGAGCGCGGCCCATTTCGGTTGCTCTTCCAAAGTAGGCTTAATTCCTAGCTTGTCGAGTTTAGGCAGCCGTATATATCCATCTGGCGAAACCTGTAATTTAGACAGATCCTTGTATTTTTCAAAATTCGAAATTACAAATGCTCTTTGTCTGGCCTTTTCGATGAGAATATGGGCTGCTTCAGAATACAGCCAAGGTGATTTTGTCTCAGTTAATGAAGGGCCGGTACTGTTTTCCATCAGCATCATATCTAATTTTTGCAGGAAATCGATTGCATCAGAATTCACAAGGTACTCGATCAGATGCTGTAAGTTCGAGAGATCCTGCACCATTTTCTTTGATTTAGGCGAAACAGTGTGCCATATAGGATCTAGATGCATTCGTATTTGGGTATCAAATGACCTTAAGAAAGCTTCATCTTTATCATATTCAAAAAGTTCTAGCGACAGATTTTTGTCTCTCCGTAGACCGTTTATCGTGAAATCTATGCAGTCAACGAGCGCCATTTGTATTTCTTGCATTAGGGGCGTCATAGGAACATTAAACTCGGTAACCTGCTGAGATGCAACATTCTCCTGATCAGACTCGTCGTCCATGTGAATTGAGTCGTCTACTCCCTCTAAAGACGACGCCACGCTCACATGGAAGCGAGGCCAGAGCGAGGCCCGGCGAAGAAACAAGTTCTTGAGAATGTTACTGAGAGGCGAGAAGCCAGTAGTGAATGGTTCAGGACTGTCGGAAAAAGCTTTAATAAACCCAGACTGGTTCTCTTCTCTAAAGAGCCGTAAAACAAATGCATCAGACGACGTAGCAAGTACCTTTTCCGCGTGCAAGACGACCATTCCCGAGATCCACTTGGGATCGACCATCTTTGTGAGTATATCCACTTCAAGTACGCGACTCGGCAATATCAGTATACCGCCGTTCGGGTACGTAGAAGCACGTTTATCGACGCTAGATGCTGTGAGCACTTTGACATACTCTGCTGCGGTGTTTAGTGCCAGACTAAGGTATTCTGAGTCAAAGGCGCTGGCTCCGAGAACGAAGATCAGAGGCGGCTTTTCGCCACTAAGGGCCCGTCGTAGAAACTCAGATACAATGTCTAGCAATCCTAGACCACGTGCTAGTATTACTAAGCAGTCTTCTTCTATTAAATCGTCTAAAATCTCATTTTGGAAGGGCAGCAGTCTGCTCATAGAGGGATTGTACAGGTGTGGAGTGGAGGCTGGTGGGAGGTAAAAGAAGTATGTGTTCATAGACTAAGGTGAAGTTCAGCGGTTGTTTGCGGAGTGGCATCGTGTTTTGCCGACGAACCTTTCTGGCGAAACGTAGACACAGCAGGTATGTTCGCCTTTATCCTAGTCACTTCAGTGCCGTAGGCTCGGGGTGTGAGTTTGATTAGAGTATGCAGCGGCACTTCCATCCAGGGACTCTGGTCTTGCGACACGTTCATGAAATAAGCGTAAATACACCGTAGAACAGCCTGGTGTGTCACTATTAGAATGTTCTCCTGTCGTTCCAGCTGCATGATAATGGGTTCGAGCCGGATCACTAGGTCGCGGTACGATTCGCCGCCGGGGTAACGGTACTCGTATTTGTTGTCGTCACGCGCCTTGAAGTCTTCAGGGTATTGTTCCTCGATCTCTTCATACGTCATTCCGTCGCATACACCAGAATCAAGTTCATCTAACGCCTTCCAAGCAAGCTTCGGGTACGGCAGCTTGCTTGCGGTCTGCTGGGTGCGTTTCAAGGTAGACGTCCACACAGTCAGGGGGGCATCGCCAACACTCTGTCTTACCAGTTCAGGAAGCTGTTCGGCATACATCCTGCCACGAGGAGAAAGGTCTGAATCTCCGCCAATCTGCCCAGACAAATTGAACATGCTCTCGCCGTGTCTCGATAGCCAAATTGCCCGGGGTCGTATGTGAAGGTTGGTGAGGAAGTAGACGATTCTCGACTCCATGTAGGTCTGTATACGATTGATAATGACTTGTGCGCCAACGTTTATAATTTTGCAGTACGTCAAAGATTCATCATCAAGCGTCTGATAAACTTTCTCGTAGTTTCTGATCCTCTCCCTGAAGTCGCGCACAGACTGTTCAGGATCTTGACCCTCATAATCAGGACTTCTAGTTTTGACCTCAATAATGTTGTGCATTATGATCTCGTCATCGTCGCACCAACTTTCTACAAACATTGGCTCCAAACCCTCCTCACGACAGATCTGAAGGATCCAATTCCGTCGTTCGACCGTGGAGTTCGTAGCGTCAAGTATACCCACAACACCGTTCTCTTCTTCGAACCATCTAATCATGTCCTTTGTAGCTAGAACTGCAGCTTCTCTTCGCAGCTTCTCACCTTCAGTATTGTCTGGTTCAAAAAAAGATGCACTGGGATGTATTGTCTGCAGTCTTCTATAAGTGCCAACATTAAAGCATTTGGCCTTGATCGATAGCCACGATAAGTACCTCACTATCTTCGTAGCGATCAGGCTCTTGCCTCGGGCAGGTAATCCCACCATTACAACGCATATACGAAGATCTTCCACATTAGACACAGAATATACCGGCATCTTATTGTTTTTTCCTTAGCCTCAATATAACAGGGTGGTATTAAGGGCTAAATACGTTCTGCTTGCTTCAACTCTCTTGTGGGGTTCGAACTTTGTTTTTGTCTCTAACCAATCATAATCATTCCACTACCTATGGGATATCTATCGCTGTTTCGATTGCTACATCCCAGAACAGTCATTTTATACCTTATTTCTATAATGTTAATGCAAATTTCCAGTTTTGTAAATTACAGTGTATGCAAATATGCAAAAAAAAAAAAACTTCCCCGCCAGGGGTCGAACCTGGAATCTTTCGCTGGTGACACAAATCGTAGGCGAACGCCTTGCCATTGGGCCACGAGGAATAGTTTACTGGCAGTCTCAACGGCCAAGTAATATATAACCTCATATCCAAGGGTTAAGGGTTTTGTTACTTTTTTAGCAGTTATGTAGTTTTTTGAGAGGGTGGTTGGCATCTGTTCATCTTGAATTGGTACTTGTATATTTATTCATTACAGCGTCAAGCTAATACGTTGCTTGTATTATTTGCTCGATATGGCTAGTAAATCAAAACGAACTAGTCAAATAGAGCCGCGTGCTTCTCCTAAAGAAGCTGAGTTCACTGTGAGGAAGCAGATCAATGTTGCGATCGATGCACAGATGCAAGCTTACATTGATCCTGTGGTTTTCCGAAAAGTATTTACTGATGGAGATCTTGTATCAATTACTAAGGATGGCATGTTATGCGGCTACGCAGAAATTCAGCCGTTAAGTAAACCCACGCTTGATCCAGCTCAGATTCAGTTGTCGCCGGTGCTGCGCGAACAATGTGATATTCTGACGGGCGATCGTGTCGCGATATCTAAGTTCGCATTCCCGGAGTCTGTAGTATCCGAAGTTCTTGTTTATGTGGATGGCCTTTCTAACCCTGAAGTTGAGCAGTCAGTGCGGTCATTGTTTAGCACTCTCAAATATATATGCAAAGGCTACAAGTATGCATTAGAAGACAGTGGGTCTGTGCATGTTTGTGACATACTCACAAAACAGAACGAAGCAGTTAGTTTATATGGTGCTGCTGAGCCTGGCGACACAGAGGCTCAGATATTCAGTGTGCCTGAAGTGTACACTCTAACGTTTGCAGACTCTACTGAAAGCAGGCTGAAATCACCATTTGAAGTCACATATGATTCCATTGGCGGGTTAGACAAAGAAATATCTATGTTGCGTATGTTCGTTGACCTGCCATTGAACAGGCCGGAGATCTTTGCTCATTTTGGAGTGCCCGCTGTTCGTGGAGTTCTGCTTCATGGTCCTCCAGGTACTGGCAAGACTATGTTGCTTCGAGCTGTAGCTTCTGAAACTAAAGCTCGCTTGATCACAATTAACGGACCTTCCATTATCTCAAAGTATTTAGGCGAATCTGAAGCTGCTTTACGGAAACGATTTGAGGAAGCACACAATAACCAACCTGCGATCATATTCCTGGATGAAATTGACGCTTTAGCACCAAGAAGAGATGATGACGACTCCGGTCAGGCTGAAGCAAGACTGGTAGGCACTCTTCTCACGTTAATGGACGGAACGGCTAGTTCTTCAACTAGTAGAGTCGTTGTTATCGGTGCAACAAACAGACCTAACTCTATAGACCCTGCTCTGAGGAGACCGGGAAGATTCGACAAGGAGATTGAAGTGGGTATACCTGACGCCGCAGCGCGTCTTGATATTATGCGCATTCTTCTCTCAAAAATACCGCATGATTTACATGAGGACGATATAGAACATCTAGCTGGCAAGACGCATGGGTATGTAGGTGCCGATCTCTCGTCGCTTTGTCAAGAAGCAGCATTGAGTTCCATAGAACGGAACGATGACATAATACAAGACAAGACCTCTGACGAATATCTCAATCTTCGCGTGACATTGTCAGATTTTCAAGCAGCTATAAATAAAGTACGTCCGAGCGCAATGAGAGAGATATTCCTCGAGCCTCCGACAACGCGCTTTTCAGAGATCGGAGGCCAGGAAGAGGTGAAACAAAAGCTACGTGAAATGGTTGAATGGCCTTTAACAAAATCAGATACGTTTCAGCGACTTGGAATTCAAGCGCCAAAAGGGATATTACTCTATGGGCCGCCAGGATGTAGCAAGACATTAGTTGCTAAAGCTTTAGCGACTGAAGCAGGATTGAATTTTTTCGCAGTAAAAGGTCCGGAGCTTTTTAATAAATTTGTTGGAGAGTCAGAGAAGTCTGTACGCGACCTTTTTCGAAAAGCACGCGCAGTTCGACCTTCAATCATATTTTTTGATGAGATTGATGCTATGGCATCTAGCCGTGAAACTCACTCTTCAGGAGCGGATCGCATATTAACGACTCTTTTGAATGAAATGGACGGTATAGAGTCTCTTGACGGTGTTGTCGTATTGGCTGCATCAAACAGACCGGAAGTTATCGATTCAGCGCTTTTGCGTCCAGGCAGAATTGACCGGCTCGTGTATGTTTCTCCTCCAGACAGAGAAGCACGAACTAAGATATTTGAGATCACACTTGCTAAAATGTCAGTTGCGGATGACGTTACAGCAGAACGACTAGCCGATAAAGCAGATCGCATGTCAGGAGCAGAGATCGTTGCTGCATGTCAAGAAGCAGGTCTTCAAGCTATGAATGAAAACATAGACGCACTTTGCATTGAATGGAGGCATTTTGAAAGCGCTCTTTTGAAAGCTAGACGAGGCATTACTGATGAAATGATTGAATTTTATGAACAGTTTAGACGATCTACGACCCTATAAAAAGCATACGGGTAATAATGACAATTTTATCATTCTATTTTTCATTCTTTCTTTGCCTGTTGTATCTACTATCTAAACGCGATAGGTGAAATATTTTAATCAAATTTTAATTAAATAACCATAACCCAAAAGAAAGAAATAACGAGTCCAGGAAGGTAGATAATTAACGGGCATTTATCATGAAAGTGTAAAGCACTAAAGTAAAGCAGTTCTCTTTCTCGTGTACTCGAAACCACCAACAAGCTTGCCATTGCACCATACTTTACGGCAGTTGCGGTCATCGCCAGTATAGAGCCACTTCTCAGACAAAAGCTGGAAATTGCCTTCTTCCCACGGGAATACATCTATAGGAGATCCCTGCACAGAAAGATCAATGAGCTGCGCATCCCAGCGCTTACCGACAATGAAATTACCTGCACGATCATCGACTTTGCATACCTTGGCACCACCGATGGTCGCAAGGTAAAATACCTCGTCAGGGCTCAAGCGCGTATCCGGACCACTTCGCATAGCGATGTGGTTCGAGACCATGACAGCGTTACGAGCACAGGAGAGAATACTGCAGGAGAATCCTCCAGAGACATCAGTTCCTAGACCCACGTTGACTCCAGAGTCGAGCAGCCATCTGATTCTGGCTTCCCCACTTGCAATCGAGGAATTTGAAATAGGGCAATGAGCAATACCTGCACCCCTCTTAACGATAAGGTCGCGTTCCTCGTCGGATAAATGAACAGCGTGTGCAAGGATAGTGTGATCAGTCAGGAGTTTGTGGTCATCGTAAACTCCGCAGTAGCTCTTGCTTTTGGGAAAAAGCTTGGAAACCCAGTCTATTTCAGCTAGATTTTCTGAAACATGAGTTTGTACGCGGTAACCTTTGCTGGAGACCAGGGAGCCAAGATAAGTGAGCAATTCAGATGAGCAAGAAGGAGCGAACCGAGGAGTGAGAATAGGAGCTACAAGAGTCTCTGTAGGGTCGATATCATGGAGATGCTTGATAACTTCCTGTGTGCGCTTCTTTGCAGTTTCAGTGTCTTCGATATAGTAATCTGGGGAGTTGCGATCCATGCATACGCGGCCGATGAAAGCGCGTTGGCCGAAGTTGAGAGCGATATCAGCGAGCAATTTTGTGGGTTCAGTATCGATAGTCGCATAGTATGCTGCAGTGGTAGTTCCGTGGTCCAAAGTGCGTGAAACTACAGCTTCGTATATGTGGCGGGCTCTGTCGAGGTCTTTTAAGGAGGCTTCGAGGGGGAAAGTGTAGGTTGTAAGCCAGTCGAGAAGGGTTGAACGGCCGAAGATGCCAGAATTAGGATACTGAGGTGCGTGGATGTGGGCGTCGACAAAGCCAGGAAAGAAAAACTGAGATTTTCCGTTAGTAGAGACTACTTCATAGCCAGACCAACCATGCTTTTCCGCGGCCTGGCCGGCAGTTGCACCATCTTCAATGAACACGATAGTTCCGTCTTCAACACCGATCGCGCCATTGAAAATCTGAGTAGTTTTAAGCTCCAAATTATGAAGGAAAGTGCCTTCGTATATGACTTTACAAGTGGATACCATTGTCGATATATTGAGGAACGAGTGCAGGGAAGGACTGAGGGCGGGTGACTATTCAGAGTCAATCTAAGTGTGTGATAAGGACGCTGGTACTTATAGTAAAATCAGCGGCTATGGATAGGGAACCCGAAATGGTTTTCTCGTTGTACAATGGCAAACGTGACAGGCGAAAAATAAAACGATACCGGCAGAGCTAAGAAGAAGGGACGGTGATTGATAGGACGCGCAGGGCGGCAGGGGGCTCTTTATATACACACACTTCTCAAATCAATGTACAAAATATCTACCAGTAAAACTCGCCCGCTTAACTTTGTAAGAATTAAGATTCCACTTACAGCCATAGACAAATTTCGGACGATCGTTCTACTGCCGAAGCTTCTCGCCCGGCTTCAGTACTAAATTACTGATAAGGTTCGAAGCTACGTATCTCCTATTGGCCGCACAAACTCAACCCTCAACCTTAAACCATGTTATCTGCGTACCGACTGAACGATGCGGCCGAGTTTTCCAAGCTGTTCATCTGATGAAGAGCAGCTCGGGCCTATTTTCACAGTACAATCAAATAACTCTATCTTCGTAGCTGGCAGCGCCAATTGTTTATTGATATTATTACCAGCTAGTGACACTGGTACTGTTCAATGACATAAACGCTAAACTCATTGGCAGACTGTAGGCACGCGATCGTGCTCTGGCACTAGTTTGTATAAGGCTCAGAAAGCTATTTTTTGCATCACGAAGAGCGCGCAGTTTTGCGTTTCCTTTCATTCTATATTTCCGGCCTTAATTTCCAATTTTCCGTCGGGCGGTTTGTGCATCTTGCAGTCTATTCGTAACTGGCTCAGGGAATAACGTTTATCCCCCCATCAATCTTGTATTCCAACGGTTTTGTTTGGCCCGCGCTTCGACCTCAGCGTAGAATAGTTAAAGAGTTTTCGCATACGCGCTTCTTTATGCGCAGATCGATTATACTGTAACTTCAAGTCTGTTTACGTTCGCATGCTCTCATACAAACGTTTTG